ATGAGGGCAGGGATTGTACTGTGCTCAGTGCCTAGCATAATACCTGGCATACGCCCCGGCAGTTGAGTGCATGAATTGATGCCTCAAAGCCATGCCAGTCTGATCTCTGCTCCCTGAGAAGTGGAGCTAGCCTCTGATGGTTCTTTCAATTAAAAGAGGGCAGCGTGGGGCAGATCGGCCAAGACATAGGACTCTCTCGTCTCCTGTCTCCAGGCTCCTTAACCTCCATTGGTACTAGGCTTTCTGACCGTTTGTAGATAAAATGCTGTCTGCCTCTTTAAGGCCTCCCTGAAAAAGCTCTTCACTTGCTAAAATCAGTTTAACTAATTGTGATTTCCAGCCTTCTCCATCTGGCTAATTTCTACTTGACTTTCACTACTCAGCTCACCTTTTCATGAAGCTTTCCGTGACCTCCCACCATACAAATCTCTTAAAATGAAATTAATTCCCCCATCACTTTCTCCTCTTCCCCCATGTGGATGCATGAAGGAAGATCTTACAGGCCTAGGAGACCACTGGGCTGGGCCATGCTCTGTGGGTTGCTGCGGTCTCTCCTGAAGGGCATTACTTGTATCATCCCTCTGAAGGCAGGTTCATGTACTAGAAACAGACCTTGGAAGGAGAAGGAAGGCCTCTCTCAGAGGAAACTTCTGTATCTCTCGGGACCTTGCTAACCGTGTCTAGGCTTCCAGAAACTCAGATAAACCCTGAGATGGTAAGAACTGATAAGGAAGAGACGGCCCTACAACCAGGAAGGAAGGTGCCCCTGAAGGAGTTATATTTCATCTGGTTTAACCAGATTGTCTAGTCGCCTACTACATTATTACCTTTCAGCTTCTCCCTTAGGCTTCTGTAAGGTCTTGTTTAATTCCAGCCCATCCTCAGCTGTGATTTGGAGATTTAAGACGCATTTACATCACCCTCCAGCCAGAATAACAAAAGGGATGCAGTGCCTCCCTGAGGCCAGAGTGGTAATGACAACAAAAATTAGAGATTTCCCCAAGGGGAAGGGGAATCACAGAGAATACCAGTCATCAAAAGGAAACCAGGACCTCCCACCCTCCTGCCATCCTGTAAGGCGCTCCCAAAGCACATTCCTACGTCTCAGTGTCACGTAGCTGCTGGTTTCCTACTATGCTCTAAGCTTCCTGAAGAGCAGGAACTGTGCTCTTCCCCAACACTGCGTACCCTGACTGGCACATTGCAGGTGTTTTATAAAATTCTGATTGAATGAGTCAGGGAAACAGCAGAAGCAGAGGCTGAAAATGGACATGGAGCCAGAGAGAGCAGGACCTGGGATGGCACGCCAGACCTCAGGCTCTGCCTAGGTCGAGGTGGTGATGGAATCATTGAAAACTCTAAAGTAGACGTGTTTGTGCCTGAGAAAGGAATCTTTAGCTGACATAGAAGGATCACCAGGCAGTTAGTAGAGGGTGGAGAGAGTGTCAGCAAGATGGTAGAAAGTGATTTATATGACCCGAGAAATAGTGAGGGTTATTTGCATTTAAAATTAATTTAGGGCTCGGTGCTTGTGGCTCAAGTGGCTAAGGCTCCAGCCACATACACTTAAGGTGGTGGGTTTGATTAACAGCCCAGGCCCACCAAACAACAGTGACAGCTGCAACCAAAAAATAGCCGGGCATTGTGGCAGGCACCTGTGGTCCCAGCTACTTGGAAGGCTGAGGCAGGAGACTCGCTTGAGCCCAGGAGTTGGAGGTTGCTGTGAGCTGTGA